TATATATATATATATATATATATATATATATATTGATATACCTAATTGGGCCGACCCAATGGGCCCACAATTTGTCTAATAATTGGCCCGCTACATAAAAGCCCAAACACCTTCAGAATAAGGCTTTGGCCCAACAAAATAAGCCCAACCCAATCAACGACCTACAAATAGAGGCTTTTATTCATTTGTTAAGGTACGTTCTATTATTCACAAGTATTCTAGAGTGCATATTCTCTCTACCATCTCTACGATCCGTCCATCTGACTTGAGCGTGTGTTCATTTCGCAGGGACCTCGGGATCATCAAATTGGCAAGCTACTGATCCGCTTTGCTCTTCTAGCTTGTTTACCACATTACCCCAGATGATCTAAGTAATTAACATCATCATTTTAGCACCGTCTGTGGGAATGCAAACCAGATCACGTAGCCAGCAAAATCCTCATGAGTCATCCGCTCGGAGAGAATGACACAGCTAACAACCTCCCGATCTGCGGAGGCTCTGGCTTGCCACCTCCTCCCCGTACTTAGCATCATCATATATATATATATATATATATATATATATATATATATATATATATATGTTTGTGATTTTCATCACCATGCGTACTGTTTATTTGTTCCTTCTTTCATCTTTGGAAGTATGTCCACAAAAAGGACATAATCTATATTAACAAACAAACGAGTTTATTAAAATTGTTGGTAATTATTTATCTTTTTCTACAACAATTATTGATTCATAATGACTTCTGATTTAATTTGGGTTTGTATTTGTTGCAGGCATGGATTCCGCATATTCAAAGAGGAAGAAGAGCGCATTTTATGTGGAAGAAACATAAAAATTCTTTCGACTCTTATAGGGTTGTACATTCTTATGATGGTCAATAATTACTGTAAAATTTGTAGGTATAAAGTGAGAATTTATATTGTTCGAGCAAAAATAAATTTGGAGTACTGATGTTTGAGCAAATTATCATTAGTTCCATATTTTGTTGTTGTGGAAAGACATTTAATTTGTAAAAAAAAATATTTTCGACATATGCTAGGTGGTTTCATATTCAATTTATTTTGCTATTTATTTTTGTTGTTACAAATTGCAGTTTGTATGTTGTTAAATTGTATTTTGCATTTTGTTATTGCAACTAGCATTTTGTTGATACACCTTAGGGGAGACAGGCGTTAGGCTAAAAGAAAAAGAAAAAAAAAAAGACGTGGGGGAGAGGAGTGAGGGTGGGAAGTTGGAGAAGAGAGAGGGGTGAGAGATAGGAAAATTGGAAGAGGGAATATAGTGAAATATGGGATTTTGTTTATATTTTACATAGTTAATGATCTTAATATAAATACTAATTGAGGGTAAATATGTCAGTAGGGTAACAATTTAATTTAATTTGTATTAAAATTTTAGTCAATGGACCTATGCTATAATCAACTAACAAAATGGATCACATCTATATAAGTTCTAAATGAGGGACTCCAGCCAATTCTCCCAAAAAAAAAAAAAAAAAAGGTTACTATCAAAATGAGCTGTGGCTGGCGGTTGAAGTCGTGGCATGAGTGGTGGTTGAAGGCGGCCCCGTGCGAAGCAGCAAAATCTCACTACTGAAGACGACCAAGCATGGATAGAGATAAACTTTTAATTATAAGAGGAAGATCATATTTTGCCCTCTAATCTAGGGGTGTAAATTGGAACCTAATTTTCGATTTTCGCCGATTTCCATTTGAATTTTTCCCATTTGAAACAATATTTTTCAACCCAAATTCCGATTTTCCGATTTTCGATATTTCCGAAAATTTTTGGATTGGAAAATGAAATGTAATGGACAATTTGATTTCGAAATTGATTTTAATTTCCAAAGAATTCTAAAAATTAGGATTTTTTTTCCTCAAAAATTAGACTTTTTTTTTTTATTTGAGGAGAAAAACTGTTAGAATTTATTTCGTGCAGATATAAATTATTTGTGTCAGATTCAGTTTTTTTTTCATTACTGTTGCGTGAAGTGTTGCAACAGTTCGTGAAGCAGTTCGTAAAAACAGAAATAAACAAGACACAAATTTTAATGTGGTTCGGATACAATCGTACCCTACATCCACGGGGACCTGCAAATAAAATTTACTAATTTTTAGTTTTACGAATACAATAGTAGGACTTAATCAAAATACAAAGACTCCCTTTTTGTTGACGCCGTTCTTGTATACTACGCTGAATTATAAATCTTCAATTTGCAGCACGTCCCTTGCTCCGCATGGTTGAACTCCCTTCAAACGGCGGATCGACCTCCTCCCGAGATCTGTTTAAGCCCCTCTCCCGAAGAACCGATCTTCTTTTTGTATAGAAGAAGCAAACTTGTGATACTCGTTGAATCTTGGTGTCTTCACCACAAAGCCTTGAAGCCGATATATTTTCTATGAAAATCACGTATCACGATGGAGCAATAAAAACGAGAGAAAAAAAATATTTTCTCTGAACTCTTCTCTCGATAAAAGACCTCCGAATAATAACACCAGAAGCTGCTTATATATTGCATCTTATGAGAAATCTGATTCATGTGAAAGACAAGAATTACATCAGGAAAGGACTTCTCATATACGTATAATAAAATATCTTCTTGACTTATCAAAACACTACTTCCCTTATCACCACATCAATTAATATAATATTAATAAAAATACCAAGGAAACAAATCTTCTTGATACGTCTTGTACAAGTCCAAGATTTGTTGGACTATTTCATATTAATAGGCTTTCATAATAAATAAAAAATAATTAATGACAAATTAAAGAATTAAACTAAACAAGGAGACTTCTCTTTTGTGTTTCACGGTAGATAAGGACTTGTTGCACAAGTCTTTACTCATCCCTTGTTTATTAGAATCCAAATAGATTCTAACAATCTCCCCCTTTGTCATTTATTAATTTTTGTCATTTTCTCCCCCTGAATAAAATACCTGAAAATAAAACAATCAGATGATAGACGGAAACAATAAAACTAAGGATCATCCTCAGCATTAAAGGCACAGCCAACAACGAGAGTGGCATCAACTGCTGCAATAGAAAGTGCCACAGTTTCAACAACTGTTCCCACAGTAGTGGCTTCGGCAGGTAGTTCACAACGGAGTCAGCTCCCCCTGCATATGTATCTTCCACTGTGAATGATCCTTAGGCAGCTCCCCTTGTAAATGACTTCATTCTTCCCCTTTGCTTACTTGGCTTTGTAGACTTGGAGGGCGACGTGGTAAATCACCCACGTGATAAAAGACTCAGCAAATAACGTCGGCATTATAACTCCTCCTTTTATATTCCTGTGAAGACCTAAACCAATTAATGACAATAAACATCTCCATAGAATTCCACTTGGTGTTGTTGACTTAAAATCCCACCGAGATTCTAACACTCTCCCCCTTTGGCATTGATTGGTCAGAATATTTACTCCCCCTAAATATATGATAACTACATGAACAAGGGTTAGCAAATTCAGAATAACATCTGCACATATAAACTGTTGCAACAGTTTATCAAACAGTTCAGCAGATAGTGTAAACCGTAAATAAACCATAGTTCCAAAATAAAAGCAGATAATTCGTTCAGATAAGCACGAGATAAAAGGATATGCAGTAGCAGAAACAACTTCTCTGCACAATGCTTATTATTTGTCCTATATTTCTGCCCAGCAACTGTCTGATGCACTGTAGCAACAGTTGTCGGAACTCCCCCTGTGTTCATGCCATCGTTACTGTTCTTTTCTCCCCCTTTCTGGGCAATCACCATGCATAGATAACGCAACATGGACTAATGATCTTGATGATTCGAGCAAGCTGTTCAAACACTTAACGAAAAGATCAAACGAAGAGAGAATCTTGAAAGTAAGTGAGAAGAATCACCATACATAACATGCACACAAAGTCACAAACTCACAACTCAATACCACACGATAATTGCAATGCGAAAATCAAAGGATAGTGAAATCAAATCCAACATTAAATAACAAAGACTACAGACTTTGCCAAACTTCATAAGAAACAATAAAATGTGAGGAGTAAGCCCAATCGATCCGGTTGCAACAAAAGATCAAGTTTAACCGGCACATAAACAAAAATCCCGTCTCTCTCTCTCTCTCTCTTTTTTTTTTTGTTTTTTTTTTTTTTTTTAAATAATGCCTAATGCAAGAAAAGAAGTAAACATGAAAAATAAACATGGGTGAAGAGACATATGTGAATAGGATATTGCATGGACAAACAAAACATATGGGATTTATCTTCACATTTACGACAAGCGCAATCCCCAAAAATCCGACTGCCAATGCAACCAATAAACTTAATAATCCCAAGTCAAGCACAAATATGCTCTTATTAGGTAGCGTACACACACGTCTAATGGTAACTTTTTCCCATGAAAAACAGAGCAATTAAAAGGAACGAGATTATGCTGGTCGTGCAATGTGTAGTCCCCTGGGCTTTCTAATTGAGCTTTGTAGTAAGTGTTCGGTCAAGTGGTTTACTGGCTCGACTCAACTAGGCTTCGAACTATTCACTGACCATATATATAATTTATATTGGTCGTGCAATGTGTAGTCCCCTGGGCTTTCTAATTGAGCCTTGTAGCGAGCTTTCGTCCACGTGATTTACTGGCTCGACTCAAAAAGGCTTCGAACTATTCACTGACCAAATGGATGTAGATATATATATATATTAGTAACAGTAGTTCAAGAGTAGCTTTCACTCATTAAAAGAGGCAGCTTTTCCCTATAAAAACATCCAACCATGACAAGACTATTCAGAGAAATAAATAAGTTGGAGCCTTTTAAGTAATCATTTTGGGAATTGGTGAAGTTCTACCCCCACAAAGATTAGAAGTACATGAAGCATCAAATTCACATTTGTCTCAATCAGATGCAGTATCCTTAATGCAGATCCTATATGAGATGCAAAAACATATGAAGTGTCCTACCACTAAAAGTTGCAAGTCTGGACACACAAACTGTTGCAACAGTTCATGCAACTGCATCAGATTAAGCAACATAAATTCCCAGCGATTTTCGCAAGGAATCAAATCTCTGTGCATCAAGGGTTTTTGCAAAAGCATCAGTTAATTCATTCTCCGTTGCAGCATAATCAATTGAGACAACCCCCTTTTCAACCAAGCCCCTTATGAAAAGATGACAAATATCAGTAAGCTTAGTTCTCGAATGCTGAATTGGATTCATAAACTTATTTTTCGCATACAAATTATCACAATTCAGATTACCAAGTTTTTTATTCCCCAAACTAGCTTTGTCACCAGAACTGTTGGAACAGTTAGTACTATCATCACATGAGTTTAAAGAAGTAATGGCAGATAAACAATTAAGATCAGACTTCTTTACCCAGATTTTTTGTTGAGTTTTATTCACTAAATCAACCTTTATCTTGGGTTTTTGAGACGACGCACAAGTGTGATCAATTTTAGCGGAAAGTGGTGAGCGGGCCATTATTCTTATAACCATTTTCAAGTACTTAAAACACCTGGGTCGTATATGACCAGGAACATGACAAAAATGACAGATAGGAACAAAAACTTTTCTTTGAAATGGCTGTGTTGGTGCAACTTCGCAGCAGTCTGTGAAACAGTGGATTGCTTAACAAAATTGATTTTTCTTTTAGGATTTTCTTTCTGTTTCGATGCACCAGTAGATAGATGGTTACCCCCTATACCTATACGACAGTAGTTCGGCTGATTTTTGTTCAAAATTTCATTCAAAGTTACTCTACTAGTATTAAACTTAGAAATAACATCTTGGGTTTGAGCAAATTTAGCCTTCAAGCTATCTATTTTTCTACTATAAGAAATAACATTTTGTTCAAGAGTAGAAATTCTTACCTTCAACACTTTATTTTCCTCTATGAGAACATGCTTATCATTTTCAAGGCGCTTATTTACCTCAGATACTTCAAGCCACTTCCGGTACATTTTTTCATATACATCTTTCACCTCTTCGAGGGTTGGCTCTTCATCATCACTACTGCTCTCAGATTCACCTGCAAAATTAAATGGTGAAGTCAGACTATTGTCCTTATTTAAAGATAATTCATCATACCTGAAATCTGTCGGACAGACTGTTTCAACAGTTCCCTCGGTTCTGCTCATCGAAGTAGTACCACTGAATGCCATAAAGTTAGTGGTTTGATCTCCTTTGTTGTTCTCATCCTCATCACTGTCCTCTTTATCACTCCAAACAGTGGTGAGTGACATCTTGTTTTTCTTCAAAGTGGTCGCACACTCGGCCTGAGTATGTCCAAAACCCCCACACTCTCGACATTGCTTTCTCCTAGACTTTGCATCACCAAAATAACCATTATTAGAAAACTTTTTAAATTTGTTAGGGTTAACAGACTTACCTGATTGAGAGGAATTTTCTCTATTTTCAATTTTTTGACGCAGGCTTTCGAGGTTATTTGACATAATTGCTAAGGATTCTTCAACATCAATGTCACACTCATGAAATGTTTGGCCTTGTGAGATGCCATGGGAAGCTTCAGCTTGGAATGCCACATTCTTCACCTTTTTCTTTTCTCGAATATTTGCTCTAAAATTCATTTCTTAGGTTTGCAGTTTACCCATGAGTTCATCTAGCTTTAGCGTATTGATATCTCTCACTTCTTCGATTGCTGCAACTCTGTAAGCGAATCTTTCTGGTAATGAACGTAGTGCCTTTCTTACCAACTTTGTTTCCGAGTATTGTTCACCTAGTGCATACGATTCATTTGAAATATCACACAGCTTAGCGTGGAAATCAGCAATCGTCTCGTCCTCCTCCATATGAAGACTCTCAAATCTCGTGGCTAGCATCTGCAGCTTAGATGTTTTAACAGTTGATGTGCCTTCATACGTCACTTGTAGGATCTCCCATGCCCTTTTTGCTGATTCACATGATGCTATCAGTTTGAACTGATTATCACCAACGCCACTGAAAATTGAGTTTATCGCCCTTGAGTTGTAATTGGCAAGTAATATCTCTTCATTAGTCCATGCTTCTTCTGGTTTTACCGTTTGCATACCATCCGTTCCTTTAGCCATGGGCGGGGTCCAACCAGTCACGATAGCACGCCAAGCTCGTTCATCAACGGACTTGATGAACATCTTCATCTTCGATTTCCAGTAAGAGTAATTTGATCCATCCAAGAGAGGTGGTCGTACTGTAGACGCTCCTTCACGATGAAGCATATCTGCACAAAACAAATTAAAAAATTAAATCCCAAAATCTCACTAAGTGTATCTAGTGACAGGCTCTTGATGCCAATTGTTAGAATTTATTTCGTGCAGATATAAATTATTTGTGTCAGATTCAGTTTTTTTTCATTACTGTTGCGTGAAGTGTTGCAACAGTTCGTGAAGCAGTTCGTAAAAACAGAAATAAACAAGACACAAATTTTAATGTGGTTCGGATACAATCGTACCCTACATCCACGGGGACCTGCAAATAAAATTTACTAATTTTTAGTTTTACGAATACAATAGTAGGACTTAATCAAAATACAAAGACTCCCTTTTTGTTGACGCCGTTCTTGTATACTACGCTGAATTATAAATCTTCAATTTGCAGCACGTCCCTTGCTCCGCATGGTTGAACTCCCTTCAAACGGCGGATCGACCTCCTCCCGAGATCTGTTTAAGCCCCTCTCCCGAAGAACCGATCTTCTTTTTGTATAGAAGAAGCAAACTTGTGATACTCGTTGAATCTTGGTGTCTTCACCACAAAGCCTTGAAGCCGATATATTTTCTATGAAAATCACGTATCACGATGGAGCAATAAAAACGAGAGAAAAAAAATATTTTCTCTGAACTCTTCTCTCGATAAAAGACCTCCGAATAATAACACCAGAAGCTGCTTATATATTGCATCTTATGAGAAATCTGATTCACGTGAAAGACAAGAATTACATCAGGAAAGGACTTCTCATATACGTATAATAAAATATCTTCTTGACTTATCAAAACACTACTTCCCTTATCACCACATCAATTAATATAATATTAATAAAAATACCAAGGAAACAAATCTTCTTGATACGTCTTGTACAAGTCCAAGATTTGTTGGACTATTTCATATTAATAGGCTTTCATAATAAATAAAAAATAATTAATGACAAATTAAAGAATTAAACTAAACAAGGAGACTTCTCTTTTGTGTTTCACGGTAGATAAGGACTTGTTGCACAAGTCTTTACTCATCCCTTGTTTATTAGAATCCAAATAGACTCTAACAATCTCCCCCTTTGTCATTTATTAATTTTTGTCATTTTCTCCCCCTGAATAAAATACCTGAAAATAAAACAATCAGATGATAGACGGAAACAATAAAACTAAGGATCATCCTCAGCATTAAAGGCACAGCCAACAACGAGAGTGGCATCAACTGCTGCAATAGAAAGTGCCACAGTTTCAACAACTGTTCCCACAGTAGTGGCTTCGGCAGGTAGTTCACAACGGAGTCAGCTCCCCCTGCATATGTATCTTCCACTGTGAATGATCCTTAGGCAGCTCCCCTTGTAAATGACTTCATTCTTCCCCTTTGCTTACTTGGCTTTGTAGACTTGGAGGGCGACGTGGTAAATCACCCACGTGATAAAAGACTCAGCAAATAACGTCGGCATTATAACTCCTCCTTTTATATTCTTGTGAAGACCTAAACCAATTAATGACAATAAACATCTCCATAGAATTCCACTTGGTGTTGTTGACTTAGAATCCCACCGAGATTCTAACAAAAACTTATATTGATTAGACAAAATTAGCAAAAAAGTCTGGAAGAGATGAACCTTCCAAGCAAAGAGAGATGAAATTCGTAGTGAGAAGGTGGGCAAAAGCATTATACAATTTGTTGCTTAATTTGGTTGACAAAAATATAGGGCGGTAAAGGCTGAGATGAATCCATTTCGACGCAGAAACGATCATACCGTCCCCTAGATAATGAGTTAGTATGGACATCCATTTTGATTGGGTGACGGATAGCCTTCGTAATCTTGAACAAATCGTTCATGTTGTAAAATTCTATTGGTAGTTCAAGGAGTTGGATCCAAAGTATAATTTTCGGTTTCTATTTAGCGAAAATTCGGAAATTGGGCTGCAATTGATGGATAGCAAGATAATATTTTTACATAAACCAAGGTCCGCCTGCAAGAGCAAGGAAGTATTCCTCTGGATTGTCGAATTTAACGATGCAAAATCCTTGTCCAAGATCCATAGTAAACAATTTATGCTTGGTTTTCTATATATTTTTTAAGTCTAATTAGCTATATCGCTAGCTAATAGATCTTTTAAAACCAACAGTTTGGATGATTAAAGCTTTCTTCCGTGGGTTTCTAATTTCTTTTAATTCTGAGTCTGAAAAGTTAATTTGAGGTACATTCGTCTCTAGAGGTTCACTGCGCTCCTCTGGCTGGTTAGCGTCGTATAATTATCTGTGGTGGTTTTAATTTAATTGACTCAATTGAGATGGAGAAGCCGGACAAGTCATCACTTGAACAGTAACATAATAACATTTGAGAAGGTGTTGTACTTAAAAAAAAAATTGATATTATTTTACAGAAAAACAAACACGAGAGACTTTAATCGAAACAAAATATTTTGATTTCATCTCAAATAGTAATAATTTTCAAGGACTTTTCTCAAATTGAAAAAATAATATTAAATTAAGAAAAAAAAAACTCAAAAGAAAATGGTGGGAAAAGACAATTATTGAATAATTTAGGGGAGGAAAAAAAAAAGTAGGCAACAAGCACCGAATCCTTGCAATTCTTGAAAACCAGGAGCTAGGCTAAACACCGAATATATAACTCGCAGGAATTTTACTGACAAATCACTCTTCATTAAACCCTCTCACAGAAGGAAAATAAAAAATAAAAAATTAATCACTCCGGCGGCAACTCTCTGTCTCAGGCAAAATTGTAAAAAGCGGTAATCGGTTTGGAGGCGGTCAGACACCAACTCTCGATTAATCGGTGCGCCGGTGATAAATCGGAAATAAATCGGTTTAGAATTTAATATAATATGTTTTTAGATATTATTTATAAATACTCAAAACATATATAAAAATATATATGTAAACGTAGTTATATCTCCATCATGTATATATCCTAATAACATAATAAACATTTATTAATAATAAGATCATTAAATATCCTCATAAAATATAAATTAGAAAGGCAATTTTTTTGAATTTACATTTATTCTTGAACATTTCTGGCATAGATCATTAGTTCTTTAACAATAACACTTAACATGGTACAAATAAAGCTTAAATTTATACTTTTTTTTTTATTAAAATCTCAACTTTTATTTTGAATTAGAAAAATAAGAAAATAAAAGACCGATTTTTGACCCATTTTTGGTCGATTTTTGATTGAATTTTTGCCGATTTTTGCCACCGAAGTTTAACCCTCTTTAAAGGTTTGACCGTCTCAGACCGCCTAAAACCGCCTCACATAAAAAAATTCTAGTTTTTGTATGATTCCGTGTTTGGTTTGTTGGAACATATTTGAAAGGTGCTTTGATATGATGGTCTTGAAATACTCTTTGATGTCCTTGTGGTTACGAATGGCAATGGGGCGGGTTTTGCAATTCCCATCCCCGCCCCGCTATGGAAATCCTCAACTCTATTTCAGTCAAAGTTCTCGAACTTTATAAAAAGAATCCCTATATCCGCCCCATAAAATCCCAATGGGTATTGAGGCGGGTAAAACTCTCCGTCTATTTTTTTTCTTATTTTTTTTAATAAATAAATATGCAAACATGCAATGTACTTATAATTTACATGCTTATTTCAACAAACAAAGCAATATTTAACTGTTGGGTACCTGCAAAGCTCCATAGCTAATAAATATATGTATAAATCCCCCTTTTCAATATTGATTACTGCAAGGGAGAGTTATACAAGTGTAAATGTAGAAATAAGAAGAACATGGTGAATGAATTGAAAAAGAATAATAATAATAATATCAGCTCAGTCTTCTAATTTTTCACACTAGAGATTTCACACTGGATTTCCACAATACACCACAAAAGTACCACAAGAAGAACATATCTTCTTTCTCACTCCCACTCAAACCCTAGTTTCACCCAGAACTCCACGAAGGAAAGAACAGATCAAGCACTAAAGCTTACACACTCACCAAAACTCCCTTTCAGAGCTCACAAAAGAAAAAAACAGAAGGATTTAGGTCGTGTATAGGCTTAGATCTGAGTCTTATCTTCTTCCAACCTTCATACCCGTATTTATAGGGACAAAAGTAAAAAATAACCAGTGAAGGCTGTACTGGAAGGTCAAAGTTAGCCATGTATCATGAACTTTGGCCTCCAGCCGTGACAGAGTCATGGCAGTACAAGGGAGGAAGAAGACAGACGCAGGAGCGGCGGGGAAGATGAAGAAGACTAGAGTTTACATAAATGAGAGGTGAGAAGAGAGAGAAGAGAATATATAAGTGAGGGAATGAACGGTCAAGATTAACCCCAGAAATTTAATAGATGAATTTGGTCAAATTAGACTTGGGCTCACTAACCATCTATTGGGCTTCTCTTGGTGGTGTATTATAAGGGAGAGTAATTGGGCTTCTGGCCCATAACATATTTGGGGCATACCAAACAACCAACATTAACTATAATACTAATATTTAATTATATAATCGAAACCTAAAAATCTCCATTTGTAGCTAATATTTAATTTATTACTACTAGTTAATTATTTATATTTAATATAATAATTAATAAATATATATTATATATATAAATAATGCAGGGCGGGTCTACAGGGTGGGTATAAGCAAACCCGTCTCCGTACTCGTACCCGGTAAAAAAAAAAATCAATCCCATACCCATCCCATTTTTTTTCGGGGCAGATAATACCTGAAAATTTCGGGACGTATCGGGGCAGATCAATCGGGGGTGATCAAATTGCCATCCCTACTTGTGGTTACTTTAGGGGTGGGCTTCAGGTCGGGTTATTCGGGTTATGACCCGACCGGATCGGGTGATTTTTGAAATAACCGAGGTTTTCCGGGTTCGGGTACCCGGTGCTCACAAATCAGATTGGATTCGCGTATTAGCAATTCTACCTAGGTATCGAGTCGAGTATCCGATAAAAAAGAAACTAAAAAAAATCCCACAAATTGAGCCCACTTACATTTTCACCTAAGCCCAGTCCAAGCCCATTTTATATTTGTAAAGAATTCTTATATTTATGATTTTATAAGGAAAAAAAGTTAAAAACAAAAAAAGAAAAGAAGACAGAACATACAAGAGTACGAGGAAGAGTAGGGCACGAAGAACATAACTCCTCAGTTCTTCTACTGTCTTCTCCGCCAATTCCAATTTCTAGTTTCTTCACTTCGAATTGGTGAGTTCTTCACTGTTTGATTTTCCCCAATTTGGGTTTTTTTCTGAATTAGTTCTTCACCGCAAGGAAAAACAATATCCAATCTATAATCTTGCCAATCAGGTTAGAGTAAACTAATCAGATGAATCTCCGAATTAGTTCTTCCCCATTCGAGTAGTAGTTGTTTTCAACCTGTTACTCTGTTTAGGTTTTTGTGTTTAATAATTGGTAGTGAATAAATTGAGTTTAATTAATTAATTAATTATGTAAAACTGTTTGTGGTGTTTGATTGGTTGAAAATTGGGGGAAGGCCGCCGATATTTCTCTGTAGATTGCTGCATCGTTAATATGTGTTAGGATATCTAATTACATGATAAACTCACTATTTGTTGAAATTTTACAGTTAATTAATCCAGTCGAATAACATAGAGGAATTTGAATTTGTGAGCACACAGCAATCAAGTATAAACAAAAGGTATGTTTTTTACCTACATACACTTTCTACTGTTTAATTCATGTCTGAAACAACTATTTTTTTTTTTTTTTTTGCATCATATTTAGTTCATTTTTTAATTTTGATTTCTTTGTTTGTCCTGCTTGAGTTTTAGAAAAACTCGTTAGTCGCGTCATGGTCTTAATTAGGCATCTCAATGTCATGTTTACCGTTTTCAACCGCTCAATCTGTATGTTTTTTTTTTCATAATTTGCTGATAACTTGTTTATTTTCTGTGTTTATAACTTGAAGTTCATTATCTAATAGGTTATTATGTGTCATAAAACAGCAATTAACATGAGAGGTGGATTTTCGTATTTTCGACAAATACTTCAATCGTTATTAATTCATGTGGTTATGGCAGAAAGTATTTGCTTTCGTTCTTGAACTCTATCTTCAAAAATATTTTGATCTGAGTTAGGACAGTCTTCATTCGTGGAGATTATTTAATGTTGTGCTTCGTAAAGCAGAGTCCAGAGGAACGAAAGATCAATAAAAGGCTATAAAGTCCCCTAATGAACATCGTCTTGTCAGAAATATAATTAATTAGTTAAAGATAAGAAACGAGTAAATGAGTCGTCTAAACTCAACTATCACTTCTCTTTCTCATTTATTGAATAAGACTGCATTATTACACGTTTCTCTGTTCTATTTAGATTATAGAATACTTGGCAGCCGATCGAGTCAATCATTTCTCTCATTATTGTCGATTTTCTCATAAACTATATTCTTCAAGGATTATTTAAATGTATTATGTAAATCAAAAAAGTTAAAATCAATGACAGTTGTAGAGCATGCCATATATATGATTTATTAATATCCAATACTTTCGGTGCAGAAATTAAATATAGCAGCTTGATAAAGTTCCACTCTTTCGTTTAGTTAAATGTATGTACATACATGCATAATCGATCAATTAAAGCATTAAACTATTCATCTATGCAGAGCGATGGCGACAGGTGGCAATTCCCTACCATCAGGAACAGACGGGTCGAAAAGAACCGTATGCTACTTCTACGATCCGGAAGTCGGAAACTACTATTACGGGCAAGGCCACCCGATGAAGCCACACAGAATGCGCATGACCCACGCTCTCTTAGCCCACTACGGATTACTACAACACATGCACGTAATGAAACCCAACCCAGCTCGAGAAAAGGATCTCTGCAGATTCCACGCCGACGATTACGTCTCATTCTTGAGAAGGATCACACCCGAGTCAACTCAGGACCAGTTGAGGCAGCTCAAGCGGTTCAATGTGGGCGAAGATTGCCCCGTGTTCGACGGACTTTATAACTTCTGCCAGACTTACGCCGGCGGGTCGATTGGTGGCGCGGTGAAGCTGAACCATGGGCACTGTGATATTGCGGTTAATTGGGCCGGCGGTTTGCACCACGCCAAGAAGTGCGAGGCGTCTGGTTTTTGCTATGTCAATGATATCGTGCTTGCCATTTTGGAACTCCTCAAAACTCACGAGGTACGATAATATTCACTTTTGTCAACTGTTAGTTAGAGGGAGTTTGGTAAATATGAATACTTGAGGGGCATTTTCGCAATTCAACTTTAGTTACTTTTCTGTTTAATGTGCTATTGATTCGATTTATTGCAGCGTGTTCTATACATAGACATAGACATACACCATGGCGATGGAGTCGAGGAGGCCTTTTACGTAACCGACAGAGTGATGACTGTTTCTTTCCATAAATTCGGAGATTATTTTCCAGGCACAGGTGACATATTAGACAACGGATACGGGGCGGGGAAATATTACGCGCTTAACGTACCGTTGGACGATGGAATCGACGACGAAAGTTATCAATCGTTATTTAAGCCTATAATTAGTAAGGTGATGGAGGTTTATAGACCCGGAGCAGTCGTTTTACAATGTGGGGCCGACTCACTTTCCGGTGATAGATTAGGATGCTTTAATCTCTCCGTTAAAGGTCATGCCGAGTGCGTCAGATTTATGAGGTCTTTTAATGTGCCGCTTCTTTTACTTGGTGGAGGTGGTTACACTATACGTAATGTCGCTCGATGCTGGTGCTATGAGGTAATTATTTTGTTTCTATATATATTTATTTTTTTTAATTTATTTTTTTTCTTGGGGGAATTTTCGAATAAAAAAAAAATTGGTGGTTATGTTTGTTGAGCAGACAGGGGTGGCGCTTGGAGTAGAGATAGATGATAAAATGCCAGAGCATGAATATATAGAGTATTTCGGGCCGGAGTACACTCTTCACGTTGCTCCTAGTAATATGGAGAATAAAAACTCGAGAGAAATGCTCGATGAAATTAGAATTAGTCTACTCGACAATCTCTCCAAACTTCAGCATGCTCCGAGTGTTCAGTTCCAGGAGCGCCCACCTGATACTTACTTCCCAGAGGTTCGTTCTTGTCACTTACGATAATAATCTCCGGCTTTTTTAAAAATAAAAAATAAAAAATAAAAAATAAAAAAAATTATAAAGTGGTAATTACGATTAGAATTATGAATATGCCAATTTTTAATAAATATCATACTATCTAAGTTAGTGCTATCTAAAAAAAGAGAATTTGGATATAGAGGTCTCACAAGTTCATTTTTTGGCAGGCGAACGAAGAAGATGAAGATAATAAAGATGAACGAAACTATCCTGAATATGATGGTAACATTGATTACGAAAGGTATAGTTTTCTAAACTCAGCTAATACTTCTCTTAAGCTTTCTTCGTATTATTATCATTTATTTATATACTCATTGTTACATACATACATACAGTAAACCTGGCAGGGTGAAAATGGAATTTCTTGAACCCGTGCCAAATGATAAGGTATCTCGTTTCGTTAAAATCTTAAATTTGAAACATATATCGAACTTAGTCAAAATTTGTCAAAGGTCACTAACAAAGTACTAAATGTAATTCTCGTTTTATTCTTCAGAATGAAGAGGCCATAGATCAGCTTTCCAAAAAAGGTGGAGTCGACAGTCATTGACACGATAAACTCAAAGGTAACGTATGATCCAAATATATATATATATATATATATATATATATATATATATATATATATATATATATTTTGAATTCTTTATAATTCTGTAAGTTGTCTTTATTTTTTCAGGGTTCTATGTTAGCTGCAGAAGTCGATGATGGACCATGTCTTAATTCTGAAAAGGAGAACCCCGAAAAACCTGCATGATAAGATTGATCAGACAATTACTTGACATCCTAAATTAATCCTATAATGTATATGATGGTTCGTATTTTTTGGTTGCGCTCAAGGCATCTGAAAGATTTAATCCCTCCCATCTTTAAGTAATTTTGGATAAAAGGGCCTGTAAAAAGGCTCGATAATATAATCGTTATTATTCTATTGTTGGTCTAAAATTGTAAATCCAACGTAAACTAATGTATATTTTTCATTTTTTTGCTATGTTATTAGATGGTTTTCAAGAAGCGTAACTATATTTTGTTGTTATTAGATGGTTTTAAAAATGTTTTATGCTATTTGTTTTAGAGGGTAAATTAGCTAAGTTATAAACTCTTTAAACTGTGTGTAGGGATGTTTAAGAACTTATAAGTTCTAGGAACTCTTTCATTAGTGTTTTAGAGCTAATAAAATACAAAAATAAGCTATTGGATAGTTTATAAGTTGTTCTTCAAAAAGTAGTTACCGCACATTTTTGAAAAGGGGAAACTGTTACAAGCTTCATAATTTTAGTATTGAAAATAGGAAAATACTTTCAATTTTTTTATTATATTTCACAAATACGAGTAATTAGATGTTACACTTGGTTATTTACATTGGTCGATTCTTAATCGTAGATTTGCATATAATCACACGCACACCTATGTGTATGTGCGCTTAGTAATAATTATTTAACCAATGGTAGATGACTCGGTGTAACATCTAACTCCCACAAAATACCCACCATATTGTATAACTTTATTTAGAGGGAATATTAGTGATAACCCCCTCTAGTTTTTTTTTTAATAATAGTGGACCCACCATTATTTTCAATATTAGTAGTAGGTCCAGTTTTTTTCATATTTCGAATTTGTCCTTCTCCACAAGTCAATTCCCACTACCCACTACTGATTACTTGATTCAATTTTGTATTTATATAAATATTATTTTTTATTTCCGTTTTTTTTTTTTATTAAATTATTAAAAAAAATCATATTTTCATTTAAAATAAACTTACAAAAATATTAATTTCCAAAATAACCCTACATATTTATATGGGGTTATTTTACATACCCCCTAGCCACCAAATAAACTAGGGATAAACCCAAGCCCAAATCATCCTTTGACATTTCCCCCTGGGGAAGCGAAAGTACTATACTACCCTTATGTGTAATTTTCGGCCAAACTACATTCAGCATTTATGGTCCTGCATTTATCATTTTCGCTGATTTATTTATTATTATTATTATTTTTTTTTTTTATAAATCTGTTTGTTAAATATATATATATATATATATATATATATATATTTTATTTTTATTTTTATTTTTGGTATTTTTTTTTTTATTTTCAAAACAATATGTTTACAGTACTGAAAATAACTACATGTAACTATAGTACCTATAGTAATTCATAGTTATGTTCGTTTTTTCCCCATATTTTTAGTCGATCAATTGTACAAATACACACACGAATACTGACTTATACAAAATAAATTCATAAAACCCCAACAAAAATTTACAAATTTAAATATTTTTATTATAAATCACATCAGAACCAATAAAATACAAATCGAAAATACATAAACATACGCATATGTAACTACATGTAACTACATGTTACTATAGTACTGTATAGTTATGTTCACATTCTGTTGAACAGATCTGATGTAACTTAAAAAACAAAAAATTGACACCTTCACGGAAAGGATCAATGGCCTTCATTAAGCTGCAATTGCAAAATCAAAACAAAAAGAAATTACTTTAGTGCACATCAACAAATTTGAATAAAAACATCAAAACACTCAAAAATCACCAAACATTAAGAGATCGAGAAATAGAGAGAGAGGTTATTGTTGGGAAATGCAAAAAAATATAGAAATAAATCTGAAAAGATAAAAATAAACGAAATTACCATCAAAATATAGATCCCGACGAGAGGAATCCAACGGTGGATGATAACCCGTCAAATTTCGACGGGTGGAACACAAAATAAAGCTCCGGCAAGACCACCGTCGTCGAATGAAAAAAAATTGCAGAAACAGATCCGCGCTCGAAACTGAATGAAATTACCACCAAAAGAAAGAGCTCGACGAGAGGAATCCAACGGTAGTTAAACCATCGAATTCCGACCACCGGAGAGAGAGTTATGGCTCCGGGAAGCAATTTCGCCGGTGAGAGGTTTGATGAGGCGGGATTTTGAATTTGGGAGAAGAAGAGAGAGACCGTGAGTGGCTAGAGTTAAAATTGATTTTAGAAGGGTATTATAGGAACTTCAGGGTAGCCCAGGGGGGGTATGTCAAAATATTTTCGAAATGAGGGGGGTTTCAACTAGAGTGTAATCCACTTGGTAGTTAGTTCTATATAATTTGGAAATGAGGGGGGGTCTACAAAATAATCCCTATTTATATTTGAGATAAGCCCAACTCACTCCCATCCCATTCCACCCGCCCATCAGACCGGTCCGACTCGGTCGGGTTTTTTTATTTTTTATTTTTTTTATTTTTTATTAATTTTCTTTTTATATTTTTTATATAGATTTTTTTTTTTACAGCGGCCGATCGTCGGAGCTCTAGTTAGCTAACTCAGCATTAGTTAACTTTAAACAATTAATTTCTTTTCCTTTTTTTCTTTTCTATTTTTGCTTTTAATTTTTTTTCCATTGGTTGGTCATCGGAGCTCTGATTAGTTGACTCAACATTACTTAACTTTAACATTGGTACTATTTTTTCCGGCGGCGGGTCGTCGAAGCTGCAGCTAGCTGACTCAACATTAGTTAACTTCAACATTAATTAACTTTAAACAATCCATTTTTTTTTCTTTTTTGTTTTAATATTTTTTCCGGTGGTGGGTTGTTGGAGCTTCGATTAGCTGACTCAACATTAGGTAATTTCAACATTGGTAGACATTTTTTGTCTCATTTTTTTTTTCGGCAGCGGGTCGTCGGATCTCCGGTTAATTAGCTCACTCAATATTAGTAAACTTCAGCATTAATTAACATATGCATTAACATTAAAACTATCGGGTGCCAACTAATGCTTAGTCAGCTAATCAGAGCCCTAAATACCCACCTCCGAAAAAAAAGTTCAAAAGGAAAAATTAAAAACAATGGTCGAACATTAGCTATTGCAAAGTGAACTAATGCATAGTCAGCTAATCATAACTTGGACATCTCGTTGCCGAGAAAAAAATTAAAAGAAAAAATGTTAACTAATGTGGAGTCAGATAATCGGAAATCCGACGAATACCTACTGGAAAAAAAAAAGATGTCAACTAATGTTAAAGTTAATTAATGTTGAAGTTAACTAATGTTGAGTCAGATAACCATTAGTTTAAAATAATATATGAATCACATCCTTAATTTTTTGTAATCCCTATCTTGCCTTGCACTCTAAATCTTATAACTCACATATTCATGTTGCTCTCTCGATCTATTTTTCATCTTTATTCTTCTTTCTCTTTGTCTCGGTCTCTCTGGCTTTCTCTATCTATCTCGCTCGATTTATTTCTCTCGATCTCAAACTTTCTTTCTCGCCACCACTCCACCCTGCGGTTTGAGGGGAGGTGATGGCTATGACGATGGAATCTACTATGGTATTGGAGGTGGTGGCATGAAGGGAGGGATGGCGATGACGGCGGCGACTCTGGGGGAGGCGCTGGTGGTGACACGCGTTAGGGATTAGGATGGCGCTTGGGGTTGGGGGATAGTGCCGGCGGTTCAACGACGTTGGGGGTGGGATGGCAACGACAGCGTGGGTGGGGTTTGTAGCATCTTTAGCGGCGTTGGTAACATTGGTGTCACGGATCTAGGTTTGGTGGAGAAGATCTAGGGTTTGGTGGGACGGATCTAAGATTTTTCGATTTCATGTCAACTGATGATGTGAGTGTCTATGGATGTCTGGCGGCTAGGGCTCAAAGCAGGAATTCGGGTTTTAAGAATATGTTACTAAGAATTACTACAGTTTTCTACGAGTGTCTATACGGGACTACGGACTACTACGGTTTTCTACGGGTTTCTATAGATGATTACGGCCGAAAAAAACTAAAAAAATCATAATTTTCAATTTTATGTAGAAAAAAAGGAAAAAAATACGAAAATGCAAAAAAAAAAAATGTTCTACGAAAAAAAAAATGCTAGATGCAAAAAAAAAATGTTAAATCCATAATGAAAAAAAATAATAAATACAGTTTAAATATTGCACCTTTCATTTTTTGTTTATTGAGGGTCATTTTGGAATGAAATTTATAAAGGATGTGAAACAAATGTTTAATTAGACTTGTCATTTAGTTCTAATAAATTTTGACAGAGACCTATATCTTAAGACTCTTATTTCTTTTATTTTTGGCAGTCCGAATAGTAGTCATACCTTATTATTTAAAATATTAAGGGGCAATTTGATACACACCCAAAAATATATAGGGGTATGTCCACCCCTAAAATTCTTTCTTTGAGATACCCCTCTCGAGAGGCAAAAGTACTATTATGCCCTTATTTGGAATTTTTGCCCAACTACATTCACCAATTTTGCCTAACTGCATTCAGCAAGTTCGCCACAGCAATTTTGCCAACTGCATTCAACATTATGGACAACTGCATTTAATATTTTTGAACCTGCATTTATCATTTTTACAGTTTTTTTAATAAAAATAATAATATTTATTTTATTATTATTATTTTTTTACTTTTTAATTTTTTTAATTTTTTAATTTTTTAATATTTTTAATTTTTTAATTTTTAATTTTTTTAATTTTTTAATTTTTTTTTATAATTTTTATAAAAATAATTGTTTAATAAGTTCATTGTTAGAGATGGCAATGGGTACGGGTTTGGCGGGTCTTGGACCCGGAACCGACCCGTTTGGGGCGGCTGAGTCAGCTAAATGGTTCTGGGTCGGGTAATGGGTTTAAGTTTCTAGAACCGGATGGTTTTGGATCGATTTACGGGTGTTATTAGAACCGACCCAGAACTGACCCGTATATATATATATATATATATATATATATATATATATATATATATATATATATATATATATATATATATATATATATATATATATATATATATATATATATATATAAGTTTTGGTTTCATTTATCAAACTATCAATTTCCATCTTGTCTATTCTCATTTATTATTTTCACTATTTTATTTTTCGAATCTCATTTCTCGTGAGTAATATTTATCACTTGTCGACCACCGCTAATTGTCTTGCATTTTGAATTTTACTTATTATCGAAATTAAATAGAATTAATTGTAATGTCATTGTTCATGTTATGTCAGTTGT